TATATAATGATTGATCACAGGGAGTTTGTACTTTTTTTTTTGTACCAGGAATCAAACTCAGGCCTTTGTGCTTGCCCCACAGGCACTTACGCCACTGAGCTATATCCCCAGTGGGACTTGGTGCTTGTACGTGATATGCCTTGACTCTTTTTTTCTTCCTCATTCCCCTCCCTTTCAATCCCTCTTCCCTTCCTTATTTACAGAAGCTTCATTTCCACTTTTCCCTTCTATTCTCTATTTTTCTTTCCCCTTCTTTTCCCCTTCCTCCTTCCTCATTCTCCTTAATAAATATGTTTCATAAATGTCTGTTTTTGTTTTAATATGGTAAATATTGACAGATATTACTTATTTAAATTCAAGTTCTTTGGATCCTTAATTTTTATTATTTTTGTTTTTTTGTGATACTGGAGTTTGAACCAGGGCCTTTGCATTAAAATATATTCCCAGGCCTCTATTTTTTTTTATTTTTGTCTTTTTCATTTTTATCGGTACTAGGGATCAAACTCACGACTGCCTGCTTGCAAGGCAGGCACTTATGCCGCTGAGCTAAATCCCCAGCCCCTACTCAGACCTCTTTAAATTTTGAGTCTATGTCACTAAATTTCCCAGCCTGGGTTTAAATTTGTAATCCTCTTGCTTCAACCTCCCAGAGTTGCTCAGATTGGTGGTGTGATCCAGCATGCCTGACACTGGGGTCCTTACTTTTAAAACAGTAAAGGGGCTGGACGCAGTGGCCCCTGCCTATAATCCCAGGCCAGGCCTGAGGCAAGAGGATCATACAGTTGAGACCAGTCTGAGTAACTAAGTGATTAGGTTTAACCCTGTCTCAAAACAAAAAGTGTTGGAGATGCAGGTCAGTGAGAAAGTCCTGGGTTCAATCCCCAGTAACAGACAGACAGGCCGACAGAGACAGACAGATGCACAAAGAGAAAGAGGTTCTAAGACATTTGAGAACTGGAAAACGGGTAGGCTGGGAGATGCATGCTCAAAGGTGGGGACAATTGGAAGCCACAGTGGTTTGAGTTTCAACACCTAAAAGGACCTAGAACCCTGGAGAGATCCTGATGGGATTTCTGCTGACCCATAAAAGTAGGCTTGTACGAAATGCTGAGTTTAAATGAATGAGAAATGATGACACAACAGATATACAGATCAAACCTGACCTTGAATTTTGTACTGATTCTCCCTTCTGTGGGCTCCAGCCAGTCCTTACTAGAGAACACCAACATTAATGACAGGTCAGTAACACGTGGGGTGAAGTCCAGGTTGGGGAAAGTATTCTTTATTTATTTAGTGGGACGCTGGAGGATGAAGTTGGCAAAGGACATAATCGAAAGACTTTGAGGATAGTACAGTAGCTGCAGGTGCATGAGTTTCAAGGTCATCTTCCCATCTTCCTTTTTCCCACACTTACCCTCTTTCTCAGGCAGGTTCAAAAGTGGCCAGATGGGTCTCTTAAGTAGCACACCTGCCCCCTTGTGGCCGTATGGTCCAGTGGCATCTTCCCCTAACTCCAGTATTCCTAAACAGAAGCCTCTAGTAACAGAGGCCCAGATCTGGAGGAGGAGCCAAACAGAGCATTAACTCTGAGATTAACTCGGGGTCCAGCAAAGATCAGTGTTCAGAGCACGAAGAGAATGCTACCTCCTTGAGGAGACTTCTTTGACTGTCCATCCTTGCTTGGCTGTCCAATAACAATGCAGCTGGCCATTACGATTGATGACTACATGCCTTGTACTGTGAGAAACGCTTTTCACAGATCACAGTTCAACATCAGATCTACCGAGTGGCTACCACTGTTGCCTTTTTCTTTTTCCTTTGTTGTGGAATTTTTTTTTTTAAACTGGGAATTTAACCCACGGCCTTTGCACTGAGCTATATCTGCCCTCCCCGCTTTAAATTTTGAGACAGGGTCTCGCTAAATTGCTAAATTGCCCAGGCTGGCTCAAACTTTCAATCCTCCTGCCTCTTCTGAGGTTACAGGTGTCCACCACCACATCCAGTTTATTGCCATTTTACAGAGAAAGAAACTGAGGCTCCAGAACTTTCAGTGGAACTAAAAGATCATATGAGCAGCAAGTGGCAGAGCCAGGAGTGGAACCAAACAGTTAAATGGTGCACTCTGGCTTCCACTGGTATTGCCTTATAATCATCTTATAATCTTCTCCCACCAGACTGTGTGGAGCAGTGACTGTCATATTCATCGTTCTGTCCCAGCACTGAGCCAGTGGTGTGGATCTGAGCTTAGCAACACTGGAAGCTCTATACAATCACACTGGGGCACAGAGGGGATCGCAGCGTTTCGTTTGCAGTGTAGGTGGTGTTCAGGACTCCAGGCCCAGGTGTGGTCTCCATTGCTGTGAACCCAGAGGTGGCCTAGGAAGCCAGACAGCCGGTCCCTTGTTCATGTTGCTGGTGTGAGCAAAGGTGAATTCTACCAGGTCCCCTCAATAGCAGGGACTTAGGTCTTGCTAGCCCTGTCAACATCACAGAGCTAGAGAAATGACTGTGAAGAGGAAAGAGTAGGGGCCCATTAACTCAAGCATATTCCTTAGGGCAGCAGCACCCCCTAGTGGTAAAGCCCACGATGATTTCAGAAAAAAACATCATGGTAGAGGAGCCTGGAAATACCCTCCTTGGAAGGTAGTTCCTGAACTCTTTGCTGTCTCCTTCCCCAGAATCAGAAAGATGGGCCTCGAACTTTTCTGGCCTCTTCCAAAGTCACAGTAGCTTACCGAAAAACAACTTGCCTGGTTACATAAAATGTGAAGAGACATACCCTAATCCTGTTGACCCTACTCAGGAAAGAATGACCTAGCTCAAGCCATGCTCTGGTAGGGACAGCCTGCATCCAGTGACTCACTGATACAGAAACAGAAAATCTCATCTGTCTCAGCTCAACTCCAGGAAAGCCAGAGACCTGTCTCAACGTCGGAGCAGGTTGAGGTTGAGACCTCTGAGACCGCATTTCAGCACAACTTTTCCCTCTGCCTGATCCAACCTCCTTCCCTTCCACCAAAGCGGATGATCCTGAAACATTTTTTCCCCAGCAAACTCCATGCAGCATGGTCCAGTGAAATCTGTATGCTTGGTGTCCATATGGACCTGAGAGTACCTGTCTGGAGCAGTGAGTGTCCAGAGTCCCCTCACCAGTTGCCAGCTCCATACCTCCTTTCTTGGTGATTCAGAGCATATTCTCCGTATCCACTCTGGCTCCTTGCACACAGTGAGAACCATTCACTGCTAGGATGTTAGAATTATGACACACCTCCTTGGCCCTGCTAAGAATGCCAGATGGCATTTAGCTTCCTTGAGCCTGCAGGGGCCCAGGGGCTGGTAGACAACCCCACACTGCATACATAGGCAGCTTCCAAGAAGTCCCTGCAGAAGCCAGAGGCACAGACATAGAGGCTCTAGCCAACTAGCAGGGTCCTGGTGGCTTGATCCCCACATTGAAGGAGTCAATATTCTCCACACACCAATGACCTAATTATGCTATCTGATGCGCTGGGTCTATGAACCTCAGGGATGTGAAGTGTTTTCTTTTATGTTTCTTTTGAGGGGCAGAACTATTCACAGCAGTCCAAATGCAGCATAGCCTGCTAAAGAGGAGGATTTTTATATACACATTTTTTCCATGCGAGGTTCTCCACATGAGGTCAACAGAAGCACACTGGGCCAGCATCTTCAGCAAGTCATCCAAAGCTGATACCGGTGCAGTCCAACTAAATTTCTGAGATGACAAAACTATTTTTCTTCACTGTCCCTGAGGCTAATGAACACTAACCACTGAAACTGAAGCTTGTGTAGTGAAGCTAAAAGATCGTTGTAATTTAATATCAATTTTTATTTTTATTTTTTTTTGTCTCTTTTTTTATCGGTACCAGGAATCAAACTCACGACCGCCTGCTTGCAAGGCAGGTGCTTATGCCGCTGAGCTAAATCCCCAGCCCCATATCAATTATTTTAAATTTAATAGTTACTTGTGGCTAATAGCTACTCCATTGAACAGCACAGATACAGGACCAAAAGTTAGAAAGTGAAAACTTCAAATCATTTTAGCCTAATTTTAAGAACTGTGAGTCAGGATCTTGTCTCTCTCTCTCTCTCTCTCTCTCTCTCTCTCTCTCTCTCTCTCTCTCTCTCTCTCTCAAAAATAGCCTAGCCCTTCTAACGGCACATTTTAGCCCATGGTTTGATATCTTTTCGGATGCTTCTGAAAATTAACCCATCAGGTTTCCAGGCTAATTTATCTGAAACATGTATACTGGCTGGGCCTGCTTACCCCATTTATAGATCACAAGGCTGTGTCCTGGGTTGGTAGCTCTCATTTGTGTTTAGTCATGCTAGCTTTCATCATGAACCTCACATCTTTGCAGAGGGGGCTGTATGGATCGTTGCTTCTCTGGGCCCTTGGGAGTCCTACATATGCTTAAGAGTCATCTGCAGGGGCTGGGGATTTAGCTCAGCGGCATAAGCGCCTGCCTTGTAAAGCAGGCAGTTGTGAGTTCGATCCCCGGTACTGATAAAAAGGAAAAAGACAAAAAAAAAAAAAAAAAAAAAAAGTCATCTGCAACCCTCTAAGTCACTGGCACGGCAGCCATCTCTATGCAGGGTACATCTCTGTCAATAGCCATCTCGCTTTCATGTTGAGGTTCTCAGGGAGGTGCCACACTTAATTGGGCCTGATGCATTTGAGCAAAGACTACCTTAGGGCAGACAGAGCACACTTTGATGTAGCACATCCAGTTCCTCTTCTTGGGGCCCACTATAGGAATGGATACCTCCCTTAAATCCTCCAACAAGTCATTTGTCAGGCTCCTCAGCTCAATAGGACACAGTATAAGGTAGCAGTTAATGAACGGCCTCTGGAGTCAGCTGCTCAGGATCCAAGTCCCATCGCTCTCACCACCAGTGGAGCTTGAGACAAGTCATCTCCTCTGTCAAATGAGAGTAATAATAGCCCACCACTTTTAGGGTCCTTATAAGGATAAAGCAAGTTGGTTTTCACGAAGCATTTATTTACAGCAGTACTTGCACGAAGTAAGTGCTATATAAGCCATTTTTATTACCATAAGTGAAAATTTTTTTATTGGTTTACTTGATAAACTGCTGGAAAACACTCTTTTACTCTGGAAATCACTCAGGGGGCCTTCCGCTGCTGCTTGATGTCCAGTGCTCACCACATTTGTTGCACATCTTGACTTTTTCTGCTGTCCTCACCTCCTGCTCCTGCTGCTCTCCAGCTTGAAGGCTTCCCTGTCTGGGAATTTTTGTTGATTTCCCATCTTGGTGGACACTTTCCTTCATTTGCAGTATGCATTTGTAAAATTGTAAATTTATCAATGCCTACCTTCATGCTCTTAGTCTAAAATAGACTAGATGATACCATTTTCTTCCAGTTCAGAGGCTGCCCCCCCACCCCCCGCAAATGTTCCTCATCCCTTTGTTTTTTTTTCTCAGCTCCCAGACTTTTTCTTTGGAAGTGGCCTGGTGGTTATGGGTCCTTGGACTGAGTCCCTGATGTTCTCAGGGGTCCAGTGGAGTTCCCTGGGGAGGGCAGGGCCAGGGGGAGATCTGGGAAGGTAGACACATTACAAAGACCAATGCGCTTTATTAACAACGCAACAAGAACATACAGGGCTAAGGCGGAGCCCAAAGGCCAGAGCTACGTGGAGGGGCAGGTATCAGATTCACACTGAGGCAGAGGCAGAGAGCCCCTCCTGAGGACTCCATGGAGCTGCATCCCAGGGAAAGGAGGAAGGCGTCCCAGATCTAGACATGCTGCAAAATCCAGGCCTTCCCCAGGGGACTGAGTCAGCTGCCCAGGGCATGGAAAATAGGGTGGTCTAGTGAAAAAGGGCACTGGACCCTGACTCCAATTTCTTGGAGTCCCGCCTTGACTTCTAACTAGTTAGATGTCATCGTTTGGCTAAATCATGCTCTTCTCTTAAAGGTCAGTTTCCTTTTACAAGGACACTGGACTAGTTCAGCAATTTTCAAGCTCTACTTTCCATGGAACAGTAAGCTAGATCAAGGTGTTGTGCAGCTAAAATCGAAGGTGTTTCCCTTGTATAACAATCAAAACAGTAATAATCATTAATATATAGCATTTTCACGATGTAACCCCCCATAAACAGGTCTAAATCAGTGGTGCCTGCTACTCTTGATATCTGAGGATAGTACAAACGGAGTCTGATTCTGAAACAGCTCATATCTAACACGTTTACTATGAAGCCATATGTGCACTATTCTACACCACAATGTGGCCCTAACATTTTTTTCATCTGAAGAATCCTGAGAAATGCTGGCAGGGCTGGGTGCACACCGACAGCTTTGGCATTTTTTTTTTCTTTTTTCTTTTTCATTTTTATCGGTACCGGGGATTGAACTCACAACCGCCTGCTTGCAAGGCAGGTGCTTATGCTGCTGAGCTAAATCCCCAGCCCCGCTTTGGGATTTTTGAATCTGATGCCTTTTGGGGTTTTCAGGGAAAAACAGGTGTCAATGGAAGGACATCTTCGGGGGTTCAGCAAGGTCATCTCAAGGTCCCTCTCTGAGTCCCTGGGGATGAAGTCCCTCTGTGCTGGTCCCATATACCTATGGCAAGGAATTCACCCTGGGAGAGGTGGCCCGAAGGCTCCTGTCTCCTGGGCTGGACTAGCTAGAAAGGAGAAATAATGTCTGAGTGATGCACCCCACCTGCCTTGCTCATAGGTTGCATTTCACTTATAGGTGATGGGGTGAGAACAGGAAGGGAACCAGCCCCGCAACACTCCACCACCACGTGCTCTGGCCAGCCCTCCTGTACATACACCCTGAAGCAAGTGCTGGTGCCTGCTTCCACATCTGCATAGCAGTATTATGATTATAGCCGGGCAGCTAGAGCCCTGCTCCTTCACATCATCCCACCAGGTGGAGATGTGGCTGCTACCCATTGGTGAGTCACAGACGGGGTCTGCTGGTCCAGGATGGGCCGACTTCTGGGGCACTGTTGGTGAGGGGAGAATGAAGTCCCCTTCTGGGGCAAAGTAGGAAGGCCTACTGTCCTTGGTGAGAGGTAAGGTGCTGGCAGAGTGAGGAATGAGAGAGTGACAAGGACTCTCTGAAACCTGATGATAATTCATATGGGCTGCTATATGGAAGCTGGAGAGACCACAACCCTTTGACCACCTCCCTAGATTCAGTCCCTGGGCTTTGTGAAATGTATAGCTTGGGGCCACTATCCACAGCCCTTTGGGGAAGCTGGCTTTGTCTGTTCTCCACTGCCCAGGCCCTGTGATCTACCTTCTTGGGGCTTCTCAGAAGATGGGTTCCCAGCCAGTAGCTCGAGTGATGTAAAGGATGCCCACCATACCAGAGCTGCTGCCCACCAGTGAAAGAGTTATCATGACAAAGGGATGAAGGTGGGGACTGCAGGGTAGGTGTAGGGAGTCATGACCTTAGCTATTTTAGATTTGGTCATCCTTTGAGTGTCCCAGGCCAACCAGGAGTGGGAGGAGGCCCCGTGGTGCTCACTTGCCTGGGACAGAACAGCATGGATTGGTTGCAGGATAAGATGAGAGGAGTGGGCTGGTTTGGATCCTGGGTGGGAAGGGGAAGGGAATGCCCTCTGGGCTCTGGACATGTGGACCTAGTATGAGGGAAGTGTGAGCAACCCTGTCCCTGAGGAATGGTGCCTTTCTCCTGCCTGCTTTCCCTGAGCACCAGCAGCAGCCTTGCCAGGAGTGCAGGGGCATCCCTGGGAAAAATCTTACCTCCAGCCACTGCCCTCTGCTCCTACTTGAGTTTCTTTCTCTCATGACTGACACCTCAAGGGACTGAGGGCAGCCTGTGGCTCGCAGGAAAGGGGGACCTGGTATTAGGCCAGGTGGAGAAGGGAGATGGCAGAGGAAGAGCTGAGCTCCAGGAGGGATGGGAGGAGCTGCTGGGCCACCATCAGCCCCAGACCTGGGCACCAGGCCCTGGAGGAGTAGCCTCGCCCAGGTGCCACTGCACTGAGCTAGTTAGGAGATCTCACTGCCAAACACCTCGAGCACGAGGGGTGTGAGCTTCATGCTGTTCTCTGGCTGGAAGGAGAGGCTGCGGTATTGTTTGGAGTGCTCCTCATTGAGGCTGCGCAGGTCAGCCAGCTTCTGGATCATCTTGGCGTAGAGCTGGTGGTTGCCTGGGGGTGGGTGGCGACAGCGGATATAGGTCTGAAGTGTGTTGGACAGGCGGTCCTGGATGGCCTCGACCAGCTTGGCATCCTGCACTCCAGGTCGGTCTGAGAAGACACAGGGCCTCTGAGCAGTGTCTCCTGCTGCTCAGTGTCACTATACCTACCTACCAGGGTCACCCAGCTCAGCAACCCGGGCTGCCCTCATGACTGTTGACCTGCACTTCCCACTGCATCTAGGATCAAGTCCCTTTGTGGGCCCATGGGGACCTGCCCCATCTCCCCTCACTCCCTCTGTCTCTGCACTGTCCTTGCTCCAGGACCCTGATGTACCCACTCTCTGGCCTGTAGGAGTCACTTTGGTATTATGTCTCTTGAACTCTATTCTTTGCTTGCCTGAGTAATCCTTTGGGTAGCAGGTTAAAAGGCCTTCCTCGAGCCAGCATGTCATCCCAGCACTCTGGGAAGCTGAGACAGAAAGATTGCAAGTTCAAGCCTACCTTGGGCAACTTAGTGATTTAGGCAGATGCTGGCTCAAGAATAAAAGAAAAAAAATTTAAGAAAGGTCTAGGGATGTATCTCAGTGCAAAAGCCCTAGGTTCAATACTCAGGACCAAAAAATAAAAGACATTCTTCACGAAGGCCAGTCTTGAAACCCTCTACCTCCTGGATTTTATTACCTCCTTCCTGCAGTTTTACTTTCCCATAGTGTCACATACAGCTTTGTTTTGGAACCGCTCACCATATTAGGATTAGTTGTTAAATGGCATTTAACCTTGCTTCCTAAGCTTCAAGGGAGAGAAGTCTGTGTCCTGTTTGATTCTGACTCCCTGTGCCTAGCACAGCACCTGGTACCTAGCAGGTGCTCAGGAGGTCACTGTAGATTCCATGAACAAATAAGGAAGTCGATGCTGGCTCAGAGTGGGTCTGGGGAGCCTATATCTATTTCTTGGGCCCTCAGTCCAGGAAAACATCCATTAGCTTGTTCCCTGAACATGGTCCACACCTGGGCAAGGCTGCCCCTTTGGGCTTCATCATCACCCATGTAACATCCCCAAGGCTACATAATTGTGTCTCAGTCTTTTCTCCCTCTTCACACCACTAACAAGCAGACAAGGTCCATGGTCAAAGCACATTGCCTCAAAAATTGATCAGACCGTCCAGGCAGAATCCCAGAATCCCTTGGCAGAATCCCACGGAGCTTAAGTGATAGGAAAGTTGAGTCTGGCTCATGCAACAGCAGAGCCTGAGCATTAGGAACACCCAGGCCTGTCGGTGACCTAGGGAACTTTGTGGTGGTCTGGGGACCCTGTTTATCTGGTTTCACAGAACCCTATGCATCACCTGACATCTTGGCAAAGCAAAACCAAGAGCACTGAGAATCCCTCAACATGCACACTGCGTAAGGGTCATACAAATGCAGCAAAGTGAGTGTCTCCTCGTTTGCCTCTCCTTTTCCTCACTGTTCCCTCCAGATACCCTGCCAACCTCAGGAGGCCTTTTTTCTCCACACTCCCCACTTTCCAGGCCTCTGAGTTCCTCACTGCCAGGCTCCATACCTGGGGAGACAATGCAGATAGCCATGAGCAGGACGTGTTCCTCTTCATGCAAGTTCAGCTTCTTCAGCCCAATCTGGAACTTGATGAGAGGCTCAATCAGCTCCAGGGTGTGTCCAGCTATGAGAGAGAATGGTCAGGTACCATGAGAAAACCTGAGGAGCCATCTACCCCACCTCCAACCCCAGCTGGCCCTGCAATCCCTGTTGTTGCCTAGCCCCCTCCCACATGCCTGACTGGGACCTAAGACCCCGAGAGGGAGCTGGATAAAGTGGAGGCGGAGTCCAGACAAACCTCTGACCACATCACTGACGTTGTATTTGTAGTCTTGGGCGCCACAGTTCCAAGCCATGTCATCCATGGTGAAGGACTCATTGGAGCGCAGCATAATGACCTCAATGGCACTTGATTTAAGCAGCACAATCTGGTCCTCAGAGGTGAGATCTCTGCCAGGGACAGAGGTTGGGGAGAGGTCAGGTTATTGTAACTTGAGACCCTGAAGTCACACAAATGAAGTTTGTGTTTGGAAATATACACCTGCCAGGTGACCAGCCTGTGTCTGGGTCCTTCACTTAGGAGTCTGCAGCCTGGTAGGAATGGACAAGAATGTTTCTTTAACGGATAACAAATCAAGACTAGTCGTGTGTCAAGGTAAGACGTGAAGTAGCTCAGTTATAAAGACAAGAAAACCCAGCGATTAAGCAGCCAGAGCCTCCGGGGATGGGAAGTTCCCATGCTGTAGCACGGACAGGGTACTCCGTGAATGGTATGGCCCCACTCATCTTCAGCTCCCTCCTGTTTCCTTTAACTCCCTTCTTCTTGTCTCCAGTGACTCTCAGCAAACTCTGTCTCCAGAAGCTCTCTGCAGCCCTTGCCCTCATTCCTGTTACCATCAGGACTACTCTGGGCCAGAGCTCCTTGGTCTTACAATAGCTCCCTCCTGGAATCTGGACTCAGGTTTTTCAAGTCTGTCTTTCATCTTTCCTTCTGCTACAGGTAGATGTCACTCTTGGGCCTAGAAATCCTCACTGATTTGAACAGTTCAGGGTCAAGCTAAATCGTCTGTACAACTCCAAACTGTCTTTCCCATTGAGAACTTCACTGGATTTCTTTAAGACCCACTGCATATCACTTGTGCTCTTGCTTCATCATTTCCTCCTCAGCTTTGTTCTTCATATGCTTGTCTTGGACTCTTATTTGTAAGTTACTTAAGGGGAAAACTCTTAGTTACCTTAGTGTTGCCCATATGAGGCTGAGTGGTGAATAAGAGAATCAGCAAGTATGTGCCAATGTGACGAGAGACCAATGGCTATTCTGAGTTATGTGCTGGGTGTCTGTACAATAGCGTGAAACAAGGAGGGCCTACGGATTACTCGCTTCTAGCTTTTCTCTCCTTGGTCCGCCTCACTGGCTCTTCCTGAATGTCCTGCATGCAGACTGTCATCCTCTTCATGGTTGTGCTTTGGGATGCAGCTACAGGAAGCAGACAGGAACTGATAGGAACCTTCTGTGCCCCTGGTTACAGATGATGGAGCTGAAAAGTGGCATGATTGGGGTGACCAGTAAAAGATGTGGGCTGAGAAGTCACACAGTGCTAGGGGTGGAAGGCCCCTCTAGAGACCATTCAGGCAGCCTCCTCCTTCAGCCTGACTCAGAGAGGGCTCTGGGGTGGCCTCTGCAGGCTCACCTTGGTCCCAGGGCACACTGGGTCTCTAGAGCCAGCCAGGAGGTTGTTAGAAAGCTCTGTGCTAACAGCCTCTTGCTGCTATGCTCACCCACTATTGTAGTTTTGTACTCTGAAGGCACACAGAAGCAGACTTCTCCACTAGCCATGAGGCTTCCCTTTAATCATGGCTAATGGGTTTTGAGTTTTTAAAACAGAACTACTATGCCTTCTTCTCATTTTCTTCAGGATGGATAGTCCAACTTGGGACTGAAACTTCTCACCATCCCTATCTTTGTGCTCAGTCCACAATTAAAAAATAAAAACTAACACCACTTCCATTTTGGTTCAAATTCAGTAAGTGCAACAAAATTAAATCTTTGGAAAACATCAAAACAATAAAAGTTGCTTATAGCCACAGTTAACATTTTGGTGTATTTCTTTCTTTTTTCTATACAAATAGAAACTTTCAAAAAACAGAATTGAGTTTATACTAATTCTGTATCACACTTTACATCTTTCTTATAGCATTAAGGTTTTTTTTTTTTTTTTTTTTTTTTGCACTGGGAATTGAACTCACAGCACTCTACCACTGAGCTACCTCAGCCTCTTGTTTACTTTTTTTAAATGTTGAGACAGAATCTCACAGAGTTGGCCTGGCTGGCCTCGAACTTGTGATCCTTTTGCCTCAGCTTTCCAACTCACTAGGATTTCTAGCACATGACATATGCCTGGTACACTAATAATTCTTTTCCTTGGTTCTAAATATGTATAATGTTATAACAGTGAATTATAAATTATTGAATCAGTCTCCCATTTACCTATTTTAGGACTTTTTGATTATTTCTAATGTTTGCTCTTGTTTTGGAGGGAGATTTGAAACAGAATCTCATGTAGATCTATACAGTTCAGGCTGTCTTTGAGTTCCTTACATAGTTCAGGATGGCCTCAAACTTGCAACCATCTTCCTGCCTTGGCCTACTGAGTGCTGGAATTGCAGGCAAGTTTTAATTTTTCTTCTCATAGATAACTCTGTGAGGAATATCTTTGCACATAGAACCTTTGTGCAGTGTCTGACTCAAGATGGATATGAACAAATATCCCCTGGGTCCATGGTGCCCAGACAGGGTTCAGTGAGATCACTTGTTACTGTGACCCAGACACATTGCTCTATGAGGCAAACCTAAGGCAATCTCACGTTCCTACCCAGAGCTGGGAAACACAGGGACTTTCTAAGTGATGCTCACAACCGGAACCAGGGATTGCTGTGGGCGGAAGTAGGCATGGAGCTACAGGCTAATTCTGTGGTGAGAAGTGAGAAAGCTTGTTCTGCGATGACAGGGACCATCTGGTGCTTGGTGCCTGACCCATGAGCCAATCAGGCCTTTGCCAGTCATCATACCCATGGCTACCTAAGACGCCCTGGGTGGATATGTCCCTGTCTCATCTTTTCCACCCAGTAGGCAGAATTGCATCCCTCCTGGTTGGGGTTCCCACATAGCCTGGCATATCTCCTCTCTTTGAGGCTTCGTGCCCACATTTATCTCTCCCATCAGACACAGAATTCCTGCAGGCTACGGACTATATCCTAGTCAATTTTTATCCTTCACAATTTGCATTAAAAAACTCATTGGTTGGATGGAGAAATAAACAAATGAATGTAGAGGAATAGAGAACCAGACAAAGGAAGCTCTGTGACCCTGAAAGGCTGTGACTCTGGAAGGGTCACTAGCCAAGTGACAGAGGCAGCCCACAGAGCTGGGCTGGGGTGGTCTGGTCCTCTGTGTGCCTCAGTTGGCAGTGAGTCCTAGGGGCTCTTGGCTTTCTTGTCCAAGCCTGCTCTGTGCCATTCCCCCACTTGCTCCTGACACCATATCCTCACACATTTGTCTGGAAAGGAGGGAGGCTGGCAAGGTGAGCTGAGAGGGTGAAGGACAGGTAGTGGGAGGAGGGAGTGGGGCCAAGGCTGATCTGCGGTGCAGTCCACACCCAGAACAGCCCATCCAGCCTGGCACCCACACAGAAGTCTCGGCCCGCCTTCCCTCGCACGCCGCCCCCGCCACCAGGCAGCAAGATCAAAGCCACCCAGGACACAGCCACTGTTCCATTTCTTGGAAAAATAATCCCTCTGAATGGAAACCAGCAGAACCAGAGAGCTGCTGGGCCGGCCCCTCCTGGCCCCTGGCCCTGGCTCCCGTCCAGGATCAGTATCCTCTCCATTTGGGGAGTGTCTACATCAATGTCCCCCAACTGCTCTTATTAAGATCTGCTTCCTTTTATCTGCTCTGAGATTTTTCATGTCAAGCCAGAGAGAGAGAGAGAGAGAGAGAGAGAGAGAGAGAGAGAGAGAGAGAGAAAGAAACCAATCCAGAGGTGTTTGTGATCATTGTAACCCATTCGCACCAGTAGCAGGGCAGCTCCACTGTACAGCAATACGTGCCCACTACCTCAGAGCAAGGCTGGTAAACTCTCGGGGAAGTGAGGCTGGAAAGGAAATGAAGGATGCAGACTTTCTCTCAGGCTTGGGAAGAGAAACTGAATGTAAGGTACGAGACAGGGGTCAAGGGCAAGGGAGAAAGATGGAGATCAGGGGTCTTTGTGAAGGGGTCACTGTTGCTGAGGTCTGGTTTAATGAGACTCCTTCTCCTCAGGACCATTTGCCCTCACGTGCCATCCTAGCCATTCCTTAGAACCCCCAGATCTCAGCATTTGGAAAGGCCCCAGGCCAATTGTACTGTACCCCACCAGAGCAAGAAAAGAACTCCTGCACAGACAGGGATTGCTCCTTGGGATCAACCTGAAGCCAGGTGCTGCAGTGTAGACTTTGGCACCTTGAGGTGTTATTTCTCTAGCTATTTACACAAAACAAGATTTTGGAAGACAAAGCATCTACAAACAGTAACGCAAAGTGTGGAGGAGGACAGAGGTGGAATGTGTGTCAGTTCCAAGGGAAGACTCCAGAGGGTAAAACCAGCTGGGTGCAACGCCGGAAACTCAGGCCCTAGCCTTTGTCTGATTGCCATGCTGGCCCCCTACTCCATTCCTGTGACTGAAATATGTTGCGGTTTCTCTCTTCACCATAATTTTCATATTAATTTCACAGAAAAGCTTTAGAGAGTTTCGGATATAAAACAACACCCAGTTGTTTTACACACGGGGTAGAATCAAACCGGGAAGTGCTTTCATTCCGTCATCCAAAGTGTGGGGCTGGAACAGCTTTCCAGGGCTCACTCACAGAGTGATGCTGTGAATTGCTGTCCTCTGCCTGGCAAAAGCGGCTGTTTAGACAATAATGATGGCTCCCCACAGCAGAGGGGTCCACAAAACACTAGATGGCTGCTCACGTCAGTTTTTATCCAGACCTGGCAAACATTAAATAATTTTCCAGCTCCCAGAATCCTAGCACTGAGCCTGAGCATTTCTACAAACTATCCTGCCATTTCTGATACGGTTCCAGCAACTGCTATTGCTTGAAGTGATGATAACATTGCCTGGTACCTGTACTGATGTATTTCTTCTCATTCTCAATCACACTGTGTGTATATTTTATGGCAATGCCCCCAATGAACTTTTGGAAAGAATGAGGATAAAAAATATATACTAATATATATGTATATCTCTCTCAATATATCTACTAAAAGTGATAAAAACTCTATTGTTTTAATATTTTATATGAGTTAAAGTATGTGTTAATCATTAAAGCAATAAAACATAGGAGTGAATGAATAAATTTATATGAATCATCTATCAAGGAAGATCCTTATCCTACTAGAACTCCTATCTATTTACAGTATTTTTTGCAAAAGAATCTAGTATGATTAAGAAATGCTCTTTTAATATAAATTTGGATGTAGTATGACCAGGTCAGATATACCAGTAAGCCTGCCTCCCTCTAAGATTTCTAAATATTTCACAAGTCTACATGCTCTGTGCTTTCTCCTTTCTTTCTTTCTTTCTTTCTTTCTTTCTTTCTTTCTTCCTTTCTTTCTTTCTTTCTCTCTTTTTTTTTAATCGGTACCAGGGATCAAACTCACGACCATGTGCTTGCAAGGCAGGCACTTATGCCGCTGAGCTAAATCCCCAGCCCCTGCTTTCCCCTTTCTATAGGTTCCTTCTGGGCACAGACCTGAAAGAAAGGAAAATACAGTACTGTAGATTGAAATTAAAAAGCCAATTAGAGGATTAGAGTCATGGACACTTGAGATGGAACGCTTCTCCAAGGCTGGCTCACAGGGTGATGCTGGATGGGCTACACTCCATGAAACACAGATCCCAGCTGAGCTAGGGCCTGAGTCTCCAGGGGAAGCACTGGGCTACTTTTCTAAGCCCTTTTCTAGCTCAGGATAGGGTCCCCATTGTCCGAAGCCTTGCAGAAGAGTCTTACCTGAATCCTGGTATCATTTTGGCAAAGCCGATGACCTTTTGGATGCTGTAACTGACCAGGTCAGCCAAGTGGGGCAGCATGGAGAGCTGGGACAGGTCCACTGTCACAGAAGAGTCATCCACGTCTTCTTCTTCTTCTTCATTCAAGTCCAGGTTGGAGAAGTTGGAAGGTTCCATCATGTCTGGGGAGGATGAGGACAGAGAAAGAACTGGTTAAGAAATGCAGGCCAGGTCTCTGCTCCCTGTCCAGGTGAGGACTGAGTGTGTCCTAGCTGCAGAGCCAGCTGCAGATCCCACAGTGACAGATCCCTCGAAAGCTCACTTTGTAGACCCCGGCTTCCCAGGTCTTGCCCTTTCTCTTGTTTCAGCAGTGTGAAACAGTCAAAATCAGACAGCCAGAGATACTAAAGGAAATAAGGCTTCTGAACTATGCTTTTGTAGTCCATGTGTTGTTCCTAATGATCTTTTTTTTTTTGTCTTTTTCATTTTTTATCAGTACCGGGGATCGAACTCACGACCGCCTGCTTGCAAGGCTGGTACTTATGCCGCTGAGCTAAATCCCCAGCCCCGTTCCTAATGATCTTAATAAAACATGAACTTGGGACCTCCTTTATGATCCAAGAATTACAAAGGAGAACATCTACATGCTTCACCTATAGCTGAAAACAAATGTGGTTAAATGCTGACGCTGGCATTTGTAAAGATACAGGGAATTAGGCAATAATACTCACACAGTGGTCAGGTACCGCAGCAGTAAACCTGGGCAGGTAATCTAAAAAGCTATTTGATTGAGGGGTCAAAAACCTATAGTTGAGGCTGGGGATTTAGCTCAGCGGCATAAGCGCCTGCCTTGTAAGCAGGCAGTTGTGAGTTTGATCCCTGGTAGTGATAAAAAGGAAAAAGACCAAAAAAAAAAAAAAAAATCCCAAAAAAACCCTATAGTTATGTGTAAACTTTGACCATTTCCACTAATTCAACATAAAGAAAAAATTTGGAAAAAGTTTATGTATTTATCTGTAAGAAAAGTATTATCTTGCTAAAAAGCTGAAAAACAAGCTAGATAGTCAATGGTGGGGGATTCATTTGTTTTATTATATCTCAGAGTACTCGGCAGCCTTCAAAAACTGTTCTAGGTGCATACCAAATGCCATGGAAATATGATACAATATATCTGTAAGAGAAAGAGGGTAAGTCACTACATAGCAATCTGAATATGTTAGTATAAAAAGATGAGTTAATAGCATAGTGCTAATAGTAATTTTCTTTAGGCAGCAAGATTAAAGATTATATGATAAAATTCATTGGTATATAAATTTTTCATGATAAATATGTATTACCTTTGCATACTATTTTTTAAATTATAAGTTTGAACTTGTTTGAAATTTTATATAAATATATGCTATACTGAATGTATCATTGGTGGGGGGTGAGCACCTCAAGGCAATTCACCTATGGGAAGTTAATTGATGATCAATTAACCTATGATGATTATTAAAAGCTGAAGTAGAGACCAATGTGTGTCATACAAATTGACCCTTACTGACACAGATGTATATGCTATTTAGTAAAAAAAAGCAGAATTTAAAAGGTGGCACAATCCCTGCAAGGTACAGGCCTGGCAGGGTGTGTCAGTCCACGCAGTGGTCAGTGCTTCTCAGCCCCTGCTGCCTGCCCCTCCTGTCCCTTCTGGATGGGTAGCCACACTTGCTCCCACTGCTATCTCCATCCAGCTGGCACTGCGTCCACTCCTACCTCTCCAGATCCAGGCACAGATCTGTCACTGAATCTGGAAGTAGAGGGTCACAGGTGCTCAGAGGGGAGGGGGGCTTTCCATCCTGTGCTTTAAGGCAGGTTCTGTGGGGCGGACCCCAGGGTTGGAAGAGAGGCACAAGGAGAAAGGCCAGCACAGAAGGAGGGTGAGACAGGATGATGATGAGGAAGATATAAAAGGGCCATAGGGAGAAAAATGCTATGCATCCTAGATTCTTGGTGAACCAGAGGGGACAGATCCTCCAGGCCCATGGCAGTGCCCCCGGGTTGGGCAATGGGCCTAAACATTCTCCTTTCTGCGCTAGTTCCACCTCTCGAAGTGTCTAGGGTCATTGAAAGAAATAAGGAGCCCCCAGTAAGGGAACCAGAGCCTGGTTTAGCAGAAGGAGCCTGTGCTCAGGAGGTTGGGCCTGCCACTGGAATCCCTGAGAGGCTTTGTCCTCAGCCAGCCCTGTGCAAGTGGTCCCTGTTCTGGAAAAGAGCAGATTTTCTGAGCATAGTGCTGCCACTCATGTTAGGGAGTTCCCTGCCTCCTCCCACAGGCAGGGCACCCTGAGTGAGGGCGGTGGGGTGGTTCCCTGACACAGTGGTGGCAGGACCCCGGCTTACCTAGAGAGGAGGCGTAGAGATCTGAGCCAGAGGAGGAGGAGTTCCTGGAGAAGCTGGGTGTGCGCCATGGACAATGGGTCTTCTCACTGTCTCGGACTGGAGGCTGGGAGGGAAAGACAGGGTCTCAGACCCCCCATTTTTTAGGCTACCTTCCTGTTGTGGATTTGACTTCTAATGGGAATAGTTTGGAGGGAGGTCAGTGGGGAAGGAGACTTCTCACCGCGCCCCTGGTGTCCCTGCTGCTCCTCTCCCCAACTAGCTGCCAACAGGCTGCATACCCGGAAGTCTCTGAAGTCAGTGTAGCTGGGGTCATAGGTCTTGTGGTGGGCCTCTAGCAGGATGGTGATGATGTGCTGCTGCTCCTCAGACAGCTTGGGCCTCAGGCTGTCCTTCAAAGCCTCCTCTTCCTTCCGCTTCAGGATCATCTCCCGCTTGCGCTGCACCTCTTCATCTGTCAGGATGACTGCCACATGGAGGAAGAGGAGTTAGGAGGGCTGCCTGCAGCACCTCCAGGACACCTAACTCCAGTGAGCCCAGACTTGCATGGAAGGGGCTGGCTGTCTTGCCGTTGGGTCTTCCTGGAGGCCCTGCTTCTGTGGGCAACTTCATATCTAGATAGAGGAAACTGCCTGGGAGAGGAAGAAAGTGGCTTCGGAAGGCCGGATGGTCTGACATTAAGAGTCTGTATTTTCAAGAGTGTAAGCTTTGGGGCCACGTGTGGTAGCAGACGTCTGTAATACTAGCTACTAGGAGCCCAAGGCAGGAGAATCCCAAGTTTCAGCCCGGTGTGGTCAATTTAGACCCTGTCTCAAGATGAAGTAAAAGAGACTGGGGATATAGAGTGTTTGGCTAGCTTGTGCAAGACCCAGGCTTCAATCCCCAATTCTACAAAAATAAACAAGTTGTGGGACATGGGCCTAGCTGTTCAAGCCTCTCTCTGGGTGTTTGTTGTTTCTTTAATAAAATGAGAAATTTGAATAATATCCTCTAAGGTACATTTCTTATTTCTGCCATAAAATATTTGTGCTCACATACATGTGTGTGTATGTGTAAGGGGAGCATGATAACATCTCCTTCTAAGGACAGATTGCTTTGAGAGCTGGATGGTGTTTGGCAAAGCATGGATGCTCACTAAACTGTGGGCCCTTCCTTTCCCTTGGGCCCCACCATGGTCCACGATCTTGCAGAAGATAGCAGGGTAAAGCAGGAGTGAAAGGGGAACTGTGTGTCACTTGTGTCCTGGAAGGTATGGGATGTGTTTCCCAACATGGAACCCAGGTATCTCTGGCCAACATAGAAAGAATTTGTCTCTTTGGTTCTCTGCACAACAACCCCTCCTCTGGCCTGTCCAGTCTTGAAATTTCTGCTCTGAGAAGCTTTGAGCCGTCTTGTGGAGTGCCTAAAGTCTGACACCTACAGTTCTAATCTAGGAAGCCCTCTCCACATTGCTAGCTGGTGTCCCATTATGGGAAACCCTCTGCCACCCATGGGTTTGTGTAGGGGCTTCTGCTGTACTGCTCTGGGGTAGCTGCCTTGGGTGGAGAATGGAACAGGGATGCCTGGCACAGCAACTGGGCAAACAGACCTCCTGGCCAGGGCTTGCAGAGCGCTGACGGAAGCAGTGGGCACTGAGGCCCTCTGCCTGTAGCTACTTGCTGTATGTTGGAGCTGCCAGGGCATCTGCCCACAGAACTGGGGCATTTCACAAGAGCAGGGAAAGGCACCAGAACCCCAGAGTGGGTAGGTTCCAGGCTTTGAGAAAGGTGGGTTGGCTCAGGCCCCTTGGTAGAAGGAGCCTTGAGAAGTTGGTGTTAGTGGAGAAGGGTCTAAAATGTGTGTGAGGTGGTGGGGGTGGAGCCACAGGCATGGCAGGAAGAAGAAACAGTGAAAATGGAGCGTTTCCTATGTTGTTGAGTTAAGGCAGACCAAGAGGAGAGCTGGGAGGAGGCCACGCCCAGATGAATGAATCACCTGCCTAAAGAGCTGCCATGCCTCCTCCCACAAAGAGTGTCTGCTCACCCCTAAGAGGACAGGCAAGGTGGGAAAGGGAAGGGGTGAAGGCCCTGACCTGTTCTTCTAGGGATGGAGAGCTAGGGAGGCCAGTCCCTGCTAGTTGCACCATGGGCATCCATAGATCTGGTGCTCAGCTACTGGGCTTCAACGTCCTTCTGTGCTCTATGATGTTACCCCTCTGCTGAGGCTCTTTTGTGGGCCCTGTACTGCTTACCACATCCAAGCCAAAAGTCAAGATTATCTGTGATTTGGCTTCTTCCTGACTTTCTAGTCTCATTCCCTACACCTCCAGACACAGATTCTGCTCCAGACTTGTTGGGCATGGGCTGGCCTGTGAGCATGACCTGCTCACACTTGCTACTGCCTTTCCACCTGTGCTGGGTGCCTGAATATCTGGGGCATCTCTCCCCAATGGCTGTGACAGCTCCATCGCTCCCTCAGCACCCAGTTCATCACCTTCTGCCACAAAGCCTTTCTTGATTGCCCTGATCCACACCAAACTCTTATTTTCTGTGCCTGCCATAGCCTTTCTTCTGCCTTGTGGCACCTAATTGTCCTCTGGTCTCCAAGACTCATGGTTAGAACAGGTTTTAGTAAGTGTTCACAGAGAGAACCTAAGAAGTTTCAAGATCACCTTCATTGTACTGCAGAGTACTTAAGGGCAGGGGCCCTGCCTTTAGAGTTTTGTGTTTTACCTACAAAAGCATTCAGGAGGCTTCCTGGTGAAGCTGTTTGCTGGGTGGTCTGTACCAACCGAGAAACACAGCAACACAGCTTGCACTTACTGTGCAAATCATTTTCTTGGGTTCAGGGAAGGATAGTGAGTAGTACCCTAAGCCACTTGTACCTTGAAATGTCCGGTATGACACACACAGTATGCCAGACCACAGCAGAGCTGAGAGAAGCTTACTTTTTTTTTTTTTTTTTGGTGTTGTTTTTGGTACTGGGGATTGAACTCATGACCTTGTGCCTGCCGTGCAGGTACTTGCGCCACTAAGCTAAATTCCCTGCGAGAAGCTTACTTCTTTTACTTAAATAATTGTGAATGAAATATTTGCAAGACAGACTATCACGTAGCACGACACCAGTAATATTCCATGATCTTTTCTCCATGAGTCAGAGGCATCATTTTGAATAAGCATTGAACCTTGCGGGACCAGATTACGAGCTCAGAGTCATAGCTTTGCAGTCCCTCTGCTACTTTTCACAGCCTTCAGGCTCCGCCCCCCTGGTATGCTGCCACGTTATCTCTTCCACAGGTGCCTGGCTCTGAAGTGTGCCTTCCTTGCCTGAAGAGGGACCTCTGATTTGTTAGGAGACAGAGATCCTGGTGATCAAGCTTGGTGGAACAAAAACATAACAACAATGGATAACGTACAGTCTTTTAAAAAATGTTCCAGATACATTTCTAAATGCTTTGTGTACATCAACTCACATATATTTGGTCTTTATAATAATCTTTTAAGGTAGGGGTTATTATTATTTCAATTTTGCAGATGATGAACTGAGGTCTCGTGAAACCACATATTGTGCTCAAAGTCACACAGCTAATGAACGATAGAGCTGGTATTCAGACCTGGCAGTCTGGTTCTGGAGTCAGTGGCTGTAACCACAAGCTCAATTTGCATCTGATTAATAAACTAGTTGTGACTGCGCCTAGGACTCTGGCTCTCAGCCATGGGACCTGACACTCGGGGTGTTCCAGTCCATCCGAGGAGTGTGAGAACTAAATAAAGCAGGAAGACTTGAAAATGATTCACTTTAAGAAGACAAAGAAGTTTCACAGTTAAAGTTACAACACCCTTTTCCCAATTGCTTGTCCCCAGTAGCAGTTTTGGTCCTGTGGGGAGGTGGGGGCCACACTACAAGTAGAAACTGAAAGCCCCCCTCAGACTGCATTGCACATTGTGTAGGGACTCAGTAAGCCATTGGTCTCATGAATAGGCAGACACTGCTGTGATTTTATGAAATAATTTGTGTGTAAAGGTATTAATTTCATGGGAACTTTTTAAAAATTATTTTCTCAAATAACTGATGCCTTATAGGAAGATACACGTTTTGAAGTGAAAAACCACTGACCTAGAATAAGCTAAGAGGATTTACTGTTTTGTTTTTTGAGTACTGGGGATTGAAGCCAGCATTGAGCTATCCCAGCCCTTTTTATTTTTTATTTTGAGACACGGTCTCACTGAGTTGCTACATTACACAGGGTGGCCTCAAACTTTCTTGATCTTCCTGCCTCGGCCTCCCGAGTAGGTGGACTACAGGTGCACATAACCCTTTGCACCCAGTAAGAGCTAAGGGTTCAATTAGCTCTCAACTGAATGAAGTGTGTGAGCTTTGGTGCCTGGAGACTGTAAAAGCTATTCACTGCTCAAAAGCTTTCCCAGCTCCCTTCTAAGCTCCTTGTTGGGTGGAAAACAGTTTTGCCCAAGTTATTCGCAAGCAAGATGTGTTCCCAGTTTAATGAAGTCTAGAATCAAATTGGGAAGTGAAGATCTATGGACATGAGTAATTTAAAAACATTGCAAGATGCCAGTGGTAGCCTAAGGACAACTAGGAAGAGGCTATAACATTTTTTCCAAATGAATAGCATAGACAATATCTGGTTTGGGATAATCTTACTGATCTCTAGAGACCAGTGATGATATAGAGATAGAAGGAGCATAGTGGGGAGCTAATATTCATTCATTCAGCATGTATTTATGAGCACCTACTACATTCCAGGTGCTGTGCTAATACTGGAGAGAAAAGACATATGTATGTAAAAACATTAATGCTTACATCATAGGTGACTCTGTGCAGGATGGGTACAGTGTAAGCAAGATTCGAGAACTCCACCATGAGTGTCTTGAATTGGAAAAAAGGGTCTTTGTGGGGATTCTCTTTAGTTTATCCCATAGGGCTCCAGGCAGTGCCTGGAGATGAACAAGGAAGTGAGTCTGAGCCCTAGGGAGCTCTGGGAGGTCATCCTGGATGAAGCCACAAGCCTGGCCTTTGGGAGCAGACAGACCTGTCTTATCAGCTCAGAGGCATCATGCTTTAATTTCTTTCAGCTTTCCTTAGCTACTAAAAACATAGAAGTATTTACAGATTTAGGGGTTGTTGTAAGCGTTTAAGAAGAACAAGCCTACTGGCACATAGCAGATGGTCAGCAGTTATGGCTCCTCTCCTTTCCCTTCTTCTCCCACAGCCCTGGGTTTTTGGTTCCTTCCTAAAGTTGTACAAATGTTGAGGCACTTGACCCTCTCAGAGATGGCTAGGCCTCGGGTATGAAAGCCAGCACAGGGGATCCTGAGCAGCTCTTCAAGACCCGGACACAAAAGACTGGGCTACCTCAGGCAGGAGCTTCGTCTCTTCTGGAACAATCCACCTTCAGGGTGGTAGAAAGGAGGGGCTTTGTGCTGGCCACATGATTTATTATTGTAAATTGGAGCTCTGGGCCCAGTGCCGCCAGCCCATCCTCAGCTCACCACAGCTCTCTGTAATGATGTCACGAGAGCAGGTGGGTAAGATGGGGTTGGGGGATTCCACGGGAGCAGGACTAATCTGAGGCATTGAGCTCATTTTGGATGATGATAGCTCCACGTGGTGTGGTATTCTTGGGACAGGGGCCCCTGATTCAGCACCTGGGGCCTGCTGGTGCCCTCATCATGGATATCTTACTCCTCATAGGAACCCAGAGGGGCCTAAGAGGGGAACATGAGTTGGACTCTGGTCCCAGCGTGGCTACCAAATTGCTCTCTGATCACAGTTCTGATGTTTTCCTTCTCTGGGCCTCAGACGATCTCTGTTTGTTCTCTTTTTGGTTAATAGGATACCCTCTCCTCCCAAGACACAGGCCAGAAGCATCTGGGGCCTCAACAAGCGTGACCCTAACTCAGTGCTTACTGACCCAAACATGGAACCCCTGGCCATTCTTGGCTGGCTGGAGGCCCAGGCTCTCTGCTCAGAGGAGGCCCCATGTGAAGCAGAGGCAGGGTACATGGTCAGCTCTGTCTCCTTTGTGCCCACCCAGTGCACCACACAGAGCAGGCCTGCTAAGAATGTGTGCACAGCTCACAAGATACCCAGATTTGGGGCCTCCTCAGTCTCACTCTCTCCAGCACAAACACAGGAGCTGGGGTGGGGGCAGAGCCTGGGTGGAATCAAGCAGCATGTCCAGGACTCAGTGGGAATGGGGAGGAGTAAAGGCCTGGGAACTCCTCCCAGGGCTGCCATGCTCACTGGGGAGCTGGATTGGGGAGCCTTGGTTAAGGCCAAGAGGTAGCCAAGTTGAGGGCCCTGTCTCTGTTGCCCAGCAGTAGTAAATTTGATTCCCATTAAGGAAGAAATTTCCTAGCTCCTCAACCCTTTCCTACAACTTCCCCTCTGTTCCTGACATATTTTTTGAACACTTGTTTTTACCCTGCTTTCCTAAGCCAGTTCCATAGTGAGGAGGGCTTCCAGGGGCTGTCTCTGATCCCCTCCTGAGACTCCTCAGCTTCACAGCTTGGCAGAACATGACTCTGTCCTCAAGCTGGGCTATGTTCAGATGCCCACTGCAGACAAGGGTGCATACTGGGGCTGGGCAAGGATGAGCCTCAGTGGGCTCCTTTGTGGGGGCCTGACCTAGTACCTTTGCTCCTGCCCAGGGAGGGCTGGTGAGCCCCTTCCAGCATTTGCTGGATTCAGTGGATACTCTGGTCACCAAATAGCTGTACTAGGACTCAGATGCAAAGGCCAGAGCCTGTCTTTAATGTTGGCTCAGAATATTGCTGCAAATCTGCTACATCGCTCTTTTCTTTTCCAAACAGAACCTGAGGGCCCATCTCGTCCTCCCTCTGCTGAGGCTTCACCCTGGGGGGTCTTCCCTGAGTCTGAGGCACAAGCACAAGAGAGGTTAACAGGGCTCCTGGGTGTATTTAACTCAGCAGTTCAGCAGCCTTGTCCCTGGCTGCCGGGACTCCTACCCCAGCTCCTGGTGCAGGATATCCACAGCCACAGAGGAGGGACACCTTTCTGGAGACACTTGTGCGACAGTGGTCAAAGCCTTCCAGTGGCCCCAGTCCAGCCCCAACCCCTGCAGGCCCCTGCCCGGTCACTCACACTCCTTCATCATGCCGATTTCCACACAGCGTTTGAGCCTGCAGGCCTGGCAGTGGCGCCTGTTGTCTTTGGTGATGCGACAATCTCCGTTGAAGGGACAAGTGAATAATGCCTTCCGCTTCATGCTCCGCCTGCAAGAGAGAACACACCCTGCACTGGGTCACTGACCTTTTGGCTGTGAATAGGTCACAGATCTCCACTTCTCCCCCAGAGGATGTGGGACTCATCCCAGCCCCTGAACTACTCAGAGTGAAGCCAGAGCCCGGCTCTAGGCCGTGTGCTCCAGCCGCCCCTCCTTCTTCCTTTAGAGCCTACTTAGCTCCCACTCTTGCTTTTACTGACTTTTACAGATGTCTATTCCCTTCCCCCCTTTTTTTATTACACAGAAAAAATGCAAGTGAATTTTCCTTGTAAAACTTCAAAAAACCTGAAATCTGCAGAGTAACTCTCATAGTTAATTAGAAGCAAACATACTAGTCTCAACTTTTAGTGCTCCAGAATTCAGAGAGGTCTGACTAGAATCCTTGTGATTCAAGCATGCAAAAATGCACAGGTACACAGAGAAGGGGAAGGGGAAAAAAAGGCTCACAACCCAAACTGTCTCTGAACATCCAGACAGCCCGTCCAGAGAGAGAAGAGCCCAGGGAGCAGGTGGGAGCCCTGAGGTTGGACCTTGGTTTTCTGCCAAGATGATTGTAAACTGAATTACTGTACATACACACTAATCAAAAGATAAAACTATAAAAAAGCTTAGTGTAGGAAGACCCCCCTCCAAGCTGCTCCATTCTGTGTAAAATTGTGTGTATATGCACGTGCACATGTGCAGTGTGTTTAGTGTGCAAGTGCATGCCATTGCATGCATGTATAAGCATGAGGGCTCATTTCCTCAACCGCTCATTCTCTTCCACTTGCTGTGGACTTCAGAAGGCTGCATGAAGGATGGCTCCTTCATAGCTTTTCACCACCCTTTTCCTCTAGGCTCCTGATACTCCTCTCAGCCCCAGCAAGGGTAGGACCCCCTTTTGTTCTTGGGCAGATGGCAGGAGTTAGCTGGGAAAGATGACAGCATAAGACTGTGGCAAAGTCCCCTGTGGCTTGAGTGGTAGCATCTTCTAAGGAGCTGCTAAGAAGACAGCTGCCCAAGCCTCAAGGGCAAAAGGCCCTGCGCCCTGCTTCTCCTTCCAGAGATGAGCAAGTGATGGCATCCTATCTGGATGCTGGATCTGAGCTATGACTCTTGATCAGTGGGACACATGTGGGGTTTAGAACAATAGTGGACAAGCTCAGATGGGGACCAGAGACTAGAATGAGGCTCTGAATAGCTTCAGGCAATCACAGACACTTATACTCACAGTGACCCCAAGAGATGCTTAGTGTGAGCCCCTTGTTGAACAGATGGTACCCCGTTTAAGAAACGCAATCAGGCTATCAGCAAGAAGCATAGGCCCTTAGGTCTGGAAGCCCTAGGAGTCCCAGCCTCAGCTTCCTGGATGGTTTTCAACCCCAGAACCTCAATGAACTTGAGGCTGGAGGCAAATAGTTTCAGGCAGCTCAAAGCCAAGAGGGGCCCAGTGCTAGAGCAAGGAGCCAGTGTTAGTTTTGAGCCTTGGTTTTGGTACCCTCCTGCGATGACCCTCATTACTCAAGGGGACAGCAGCAAACCTGCAGCTGTGGGGTGAAGCAGCAGGGTCGGACCATTAGGGCAAGGTTAGCCCCGCCTGGGGAAAGCCGGAGGGAGCAGCAAGCTTTTCACTTTCGCCTCAGCACCTCCACTGCAGGGAAGTCCTTCTCAGAGGGACAGGAGACCAGGAAAGGCCTTGGGAACTGTTACTTAGCAATGATATTGTCACTGGGTGTACCCCGACACCGTTTCCTTCTTCTCTGTGGTTCTAAAGGCTTCACCTGCTACCACTCATGCCCACAGCTCTCTATACCTACTCAAGACCAGAAGTTTTTAATTCAGAGCCAACTCTCATTTTTTTTCTTTCTTTCTTGCTTGCTTTCTTTAAATAACCAGGCATCTTGCCCACATCTGAGGGGATGCTCTATCCTCAGACCCACCTACTGTCCTGTCTGGCTCTGACTTCTCCTGTGAAGTATCCAGGCTATGACACTGAGAGGAACACAGCCAGGGACACTGGCCAAACCTTCAAGTGGTTCCTGCTGGGTCTGAGGGCTTCCTGAGACCCCAGGAGGGGGCCTGGGACTTTCAGGGACTCACTTGTCTTTCCTGGGGCTTTAGAGGTCCTGCCTCTGATCCTCATGGCAGAGGGAAAGTCCTCCAACCTCAAGGCTGCCAGGAAAAAATTTTAGTGCTTCACTAGCTTTTATTTGTTTTCTAAATCTTTGTCATGTTTTAACTCTGAAGCCAGCTCTCAGGCTTCCACATACCATATGTTGAAAAGAACCACTCAGCTCAACTCCATCTGAGAGCAGGAGTGAGCCCTTAATGAGGCTGAGGGTTGGAAGACCAGAAATGCAGAGGTGGACTAAAAGAAAATACTTGGGGGAAACACCCCAGTTTTCTGCTTCCAGTTCATGAGTTGTACTATGAAGCCTGAGAGTATAACAAAGGAGAGGAGGGTACTGAGGTGGAGAAAGAAGAGGAGGAGAATATAAAAACTTGAGTTCTTTCTGGAGCCCAGGACAGGACTCACAGTGGGGACCGGAGCTGAGGAAGATTGCAGCCTGTGCCCTTGGCCTTTGCATGCCTCATCCTGCAGCCCCCTGACCCTGTCATGTGTCTTCACATTCCTGGAACAATACAAATATAGCCTATGGGCTTATGGAGTTTTAAAACTTTTATATTTTAAAATATAGCAACCAGCTCTTACTTACTACTCTCAAAACAGTACCAGAGCAAAAGAAGGTGGTGGGGAAGATGGAGGTTGGATGTCCTGCTCTGAGAGCGGGGTCAGTGTTCCAAGCACAGAAGCTCACTCTCTAGCTCCAACAGCCAGTCTTATGTTCTTTCTGGAACTAGACCCAGGTCTCTGGACTGGCCTTCTAGGTGTTTGTGGCACAGTAAGAAGGTTTACTGGGCTACAAGTGGGTCCTGTTGGCTTACAGGCTGACTTATTCCCTGTCCTGCTGCCTTCTGAGAGTACTTCCACACTTGTGATTGTCATCTGGTGTCTGCCCACAAGGAGTCAGGGCAACCAGATCAGATCCACACCCTGCCCCTCTTTCCTCCCAATGCTAATTGCTTATGAGCTGGTTTGGTTTTGAGAAACAAGAGCCTTGGGGTTCCATTGGAGCACGATGTCTCAGCTGCTTGCTGAGCCTCAACCCTGTCATCCTCTGGATGGTTGGCAATTATGTCTCAGTTCAGGAAGGGGAACAGGGGTGCGGCAACCAGCTAAATATAGACATAGTTTCTAGAAAGTCAGGGGTGAGAGAGGACACTGATGATTCTCCTGCCAGACAGCAATTCATCAAAACATGAAAGAGACAAGATGCTTAGAAAAGCAACAAGCACCATGGGCTGGGGCCTGAGGCATGGACAGGAAAGGCCCCTACTCAACTGGGTGGCCTCTGCCAGCAGAGTGGGAGTCAAGTGCTCCCTGTGGGTTCTGTCTGTTGCTGAATGCCACTGAGACCCTGCTGGAAGTGGAAGTGGGCACAGTAAGAGATTACCACTTGGCGTATATTGGAGAAGAGCAAACTTTGGGGTTAGGTGTTCCTATTTTAAAGGGATATAAAAAAATACAGGAAAGTTAAATAACTTGCTTAATGTCCTTCTCACAGTTAACAGATGTGAAAGCTGAGATTACAATCAAGATCTTTTTGACGTCAAAACCTTTGCTCTTTTTAATAAGAGGTCTTCACAAGAATCTGTCAATCAAAACTATAGTAACAATCAAAATCCTACCTTCCTAAAGCCAAGAAGAGAAAGCAAAGAGTCTAAGAGCTCTTTGGGGGCAGAGAAGCCACTGTGATACAGGCAGTCCCTAGATGGAAGCTTAGAAGTGTGGAATAACATCTGGCTGCATGTCCCAATGCCCCCGTGTAGTCTAAGCATAGACAGTATCCCTGGATATGCTGAGAGTGATTTCATGTAAATGAGCCCAGATTAGAGAGCTAAATTCCTGAAGACATAAAATAATGAACAAAGGGAAATGTAAGATACTCTTCATCTTTTTGTATCTGTCTTTCTGTCAACTTTTGCGATCTTCCTTTTCCCAGGAAATGCTCTGGCCTCCTCTCCTCAAGCGTTCACATGTTAGGCGAGAACATCTATAGAAAACGATACTACCCTCTTTTCTCAGCATGCTTGAGCATCACTGGAGGGAAACCAGCTAACCTGGCCAAAGTTCTTTCCAGCAGCAGTGACTTCCTTGTCACACTCACCGGTGTCCACAAGATGCCCTATATGGCTACTCCTCCCTTTTTTTCTATTTACTCAACTGTCTTTTAGCACACTGAGTTTTAGTTCCTTGGCCATTTGCCCCATTTCTCTGATTCTTTTCACATTAAAATTCTTAGAAGAGCTACAAATATCAGCTAGTTGGTTTTCTGGAAAGCCAGAACATTCCTCATGTTCCTGGATCCTTACCAGCCTGCCTTTTACCCACTGTACTCCTCAAAACCTGTAATTAACACAGTCCCCAAGGACCTTGGGGATTAGCAAAGAAAAACACATTTAAGAAGGTACCAACAGGAGGGAAAGTAGAAAGAGAGAAGTAATGAACTGCTCCTCAACCCACCTTCCAAGACCATCTCTTAGGTTTCACCATTGAACCTTCATTTAGTTTTTCCTTTTGGCAGACCTGGGGATTGAACCCAGGATATTTGCATCAAACCATATCTCTGGCCTTCTTTATTTTTTAATTTTGAGACAGGATCTCACCAAGTCACTAAGTTCTCAGGCTGAGCTCAAACTTGTGATCTTTCTGCCTCAGGTCTCAGAGTGCTAGGATTATAAGTATACACCCTTCCCTTTATATTGAAACTTAGACAAACCCATTCATGATCAGAAAGATCCATTCATATCTATCTATCTATCTATCTATCTATCTAATCCAATCTATCTATTCCATTATTCTTGCCACCCAAACCCCTGGTCCTTAATTTTGTTCTGGTTAACATATAGCCAAGAAGTTCTGACCAGCTACAAGCCTACCTGTACAGATCTTCAATTCATACTCAGTCTTTCTTAGACCATGTCTATATGTTCCAGGACCACAGGAAGTTAATTTAACATGAAGTAATTGAACAAGGAATTGAAGAGTAATGGCCACCAATTACTGAACAAACTTTAAGAGAACTGGACTCCAACCTTTCAATCTTCACATTCACCCTCTGATGTGATTACAAGTCTTGGACTTGCAAATATGCCATAACCAGCCCTTGGAGCACTTTAGTTTGACCATCGGGAGCCAAACCAAGCATTAAATGACCAGTATCCAGAGCTTGGAAAATGGCCAGTGACCTCACACTAAAGCAATACTCTCTCCTGAGAGATGATAGCATGATGGGGTGAGGGAGCTCTTTAAGGGCAAGGACTTGGCCACATTTATCTCTAGGTTTGCCTGACACGAAGAAGACACCAACCACTTCCTGGGGTCAGAAGTACATGAACAAGCAAATGTAAGTGATGACAAAATTCTTAAGCAACTATTTGTACTGGGATAAAATGGAAAAACTGTAAATAAGATTTAGATAAAACAAAAGAGGAATAACAGGGGGTGGGTAAAAAAGAAGAGAAATCATGTAGATACAGTCAGTCTTGTTAGTAACAGCAGTTATGATCTACACAGTCACTGTGCACATGAATTAGTGAATACACTCCTGTGAAAACATGAGGTTAGGTTCTTGTGAGCCTCTGGTGACAACATTTTCATCAACTGATGAACACATAACCTTGGAATGTATGCATTTGCGTCTAAAGATACCTTATTTAATATAGAGCTGCAATATATTTTCCTGATTTATTAATACTGAACCAACAGCTCATGTCTGAATTAAGCTTATCTAATTACATGTGCTTCTCCATAAAGTATACCATGGCTTTCTTGTGCTTGAGAACACTAGATAGCACACTGGCACAATGCATGGGAACTGGTTTCAATAGTGAAATCACCAAAAAAAATCACAAAAATACAAAAAACATGTATTGTTGAAATGATGCTTGTTAAAGCGCGACAGCTGGAATGGAAAGCAGAGCTGTCACCTTGTGCAACTTCTACAGACAGGTTCCAGCTCTGTGGGGGACACATGCATTGGGAGACTTCACTCTTCATGGCCTTGTGCATGTTCAGAAAATGACCGCAAAAGTGCTACAAGTATTTATTTAGGTAAATTTTAGCAAGTTGGTAAACTTGCAAATAGACACACTCCAAAAAATCAGGATGCACTATAGGTGTATGTGTGTTTACCTAATTTTATTTATAGACAAACAAAATTCAAGTCAAACTGCGAAGATGTTGGCTCTTTTAGAAAAGTCAAGCCTGGTTCAGTCAACTAGACAAGGAGAGTAATGAGAGAAGCTAGATATGAGTTGTGATCAAACCAAATGGTGAATGCTTAACTGAAAAGTTTATTACAGTAGCTGGGAGGCTGAGATAAGAAGCTTTCCATGAGTTCAAGGTCAGCCTGTGCTACATAGTGAGCTCCAGGCCAGCTTGAACTATACAGCAAGACTTTACCTCAAAAAAAAAGACAAAAACAAAACAAAGAACGCAAATAAACCAAAAAACCAAACAAAAAAGGTTTATTACAATAAGTGACAAATACCACTAATTTCACTCAAAACATGCTGCCTTGCTTCAAACACATGTATCCCATCATTTTTGTAATTTTCTGAACTATTTCTAGAAGTCCTCTTTGACAAGTGTCTTCAAAAGTTTCACAGGGTGCCTCTGTGTTCTGAGTCCATCAAAACATTTACCTTTCATGGTCATTTTCACTTTGGGGAAGAGTCAGAAGTCACACGGTGCCAAAAGACCCAGTTCATACGGTAAATGAGGACACATCATAATGTTTGCAAGGGCCTGCCTTTCCACTGGGTGGCACCTAGCCGCATTATTCACTGTATTTTGTATTATACCTTGCATAGAAAGAGGACTTCCAGAACTGCTTCAGAAAGTGGCAAGAATGATGGGATATGAGTGTTCAAATTAAGGGGAAATATTTTGAGGAGGATTCATGGCAATGTGTCTTTTACTGTAATGAATAAAAAAGAAAAAAAGTTCACTGCAAGTTTTGATACTTGCAGAAGACTGGCTGCCCATAACAATGGCCCATTCAGACACGGTAGTGGCTGTCAGCTAATAACTGATTCTCTGTAGAGAGGGGCTGGGAGTGAGTAATAGTACCACGTGCTCACAAGCAGCACTGGGTCTGCAAAGACACACACATGCAAATGTGCCATCATTGTTCACTCTGCCACCTCCAACACTCCACCTGGGCATGATAGGGCCTGTCCCCTCCACGCAAGTGCCTCCAAGTCCTGTCCAGAACATTATGTGCCTAGTGGTCTGTTGGAGGATGGCAACTGCAGGTCCAGAGGAGTTAGTGCTGCTCTAATGAGAGACTTGTTTAAGTTTCAGTATCAGTGTTGGTCTGTCAGGCTCAAAAATAGTACTCATACATGGAAAATTATGCTTTTCAAAGTCCTTTTATGCACGGTACTTCATTAATCCTCAGATTATCTATGTACAGAAGAGGGGTCAGATACCATACACACAAACGATTAGTTAACCTGAACACAGGCAAGTCAAGGAATTTGAGCAACAGCATATAATTAATTAATGGCATGGCTGGTACCAGCCTACGTGTTTCCAGCTGGGTTTATGATGGGAAGCAGGCCTGATGTGTATAGCTAAACACCTCCATTACCTCTCTGACGGCAGCTCTCATTCCCAGGCTCTGCAGGAAAGGATCCAGGTGGCACCTCGCATGCAGGGCCCAGACTCTGGAGGGCCCACCCTATAGGAAGTGCGGGCTTCATCCCAGAGGATTGACAGATGCAGCAACAAGACCTAGAAGCAGCGATGCTGCTGGTCTGGTTCCTCCAGCTGGGGAGTAGGCTTCTGGGAAACCAAGCAGGCAGACCGCACCAGGCCAAACAGGCAATTAGCACCCACAGCAACTCCACTGCCCAGCAACTGCTCAAGGCCTCATAAGGCCTGCTGGCACCTGGGCAGAGGGCAGGTGAATTGGGATCCCTGGGATGGAGCAAATCCCACAGGGGTCTGCACTCAGAGTCACTTTGCTCTCAAAGCCAGGCAAGCTCATCAGTTCAGACAGGAGCCAGCTGACTGCAGCTTCCTCTCTCTGGTCTGAATTTACTCCTGCCCGTCTTGATGGTTAGAGCTGTGTCCTCCTCTTTCCCCACCTCCAGTCCAGACTGTTAAAGCCCTTTTCTGGATACCCTCTTCCAGGCCACCCACTCCCTCCAACACATGCCCAGTGCCAGTTTCTCATGAGCTCCTCTTCTCCTCTCAGTCTGCCCTGTTTCTGTCCTCCCTCTCCAGCTTTAGATGTAAACATCCTTTGGCCTTTCAAGAAGTTTTCTCTACTGTTTGCTCATGGAATCTCAGATACACAGGAGAAAAGCAGAGTTGCTGGAGGAAACACCAGATGTGACTGACAGGACAAGAGTGTGTGTACTTTCTCAGAACTTCCTGGGCATCTACTGTTGGGATTCAAAAGGGGGACAAGCTAGCCACACGTGAGGAGTTGGGCACAGATCTGGCACTGTGGCCTATCTAGGGGTACAGCCTCTTTTGTTCCAAGGACCATTTTGGGCTGGATGGAAAGGCAAGTACAGAGCCCAGGTTCCAGGGCTTTCCCAAAAGTGTGCCTGACTGGGCCATTGGAGTAGAAGCTGCCATCATCAGGTACGAGGCCCATTCAGAAGCACAGACATGGGTCTCTGCAGGGAGTTGGCATTAGGGATAATGGAAAGAAACACGACTTCAGGAAGGTGACTTCTAAAGGGACCAAGGACACAGCTGGGCCGAGAGGAGGAGGAACAAGAAACTCTTCAGCAAGATGGATGTGAGAGTCGACATGTTCCAAGGACATGGTCAGGAAGGGGACATGAAAAACACAAAGGTCCTCTTCCAGATCCTTCTTGCTCTTGTCCCTCCTTTGCCCTCGGGGCAGCTTGACAGGAAACCTACCTGAAGAAGCCTTTGCAGCCTTCACAGGTCATAGCGTTGAAGTGGAAGCCCGTGGCTCGGTCCCCACATACGCCACAGATCCGTGGCACATTGCGGTCAAAGTCACCAGGGTCGGGTAGGGAAGTACTGGATGCCATCGCCTCCATCCCTGGAAGAACATCAGATAGGCCACAGCCAGGGCCAGAGTCAGTGCCAGGGCCAGCTGGCATCCTTGTATCACCACCTACAACCATGCCGGAGAGCTCCTTGGTGCCCAAGCCAGACCTTGCACGGTATGGCTTTCCCTCCCCAGCCAGAGCAGCACAGAGCAAAGCTGAAAGCTAAGTGCCTGGGCTCAGATGCTGCATTTCCAGGGCTCGTGGGGCAGGACATCCCACTCCTGTGTGCCCTCCCCATCCTCATCTGAAGAGGCATTTACCCACAGGGCGTGCAGTGAAAGGCGATCTTAATGCTGTGGGTGCCTGTCCACCTCCGTGATAGGTGACAAGGTCACAAGTCTATCTGGCCTGCTGTGCCCTCCAAGAGAAAACTAGGACATCTTGTAAGCCCAAACCCAAGTCCTGTCATTCTGGGTCTTGCTCCTGAAGCCACACAGCTCAGGACTGACTTACTGGCCTAGTGTCCTTGGTATCCTGGTACCAAGTCTTTCCCTCTTACATTTTTACAATTACCTTTGACATTATTTTGAACATCCATTTGAGCAATATGAGTCATATACAATTAACTAATTCTGTTTTCAGAGACAGTGTCTATAAACAGGCTTATCATCTAGAGATGGGTGTCACACTTAAAGGTAAGGGAGGGAAGGAACAACATGTAGCTGTTCTGGGAAGCCTTGCTCAGGAACTCTACTCTTCCATTAGGCAAATTGGTCTTGGCTTTCTCTGCTATCTCTGGCCTAGCTAACTGCAGGACACGTCAGGCTCCCGGAGGCGCCTTCAGACCCCGCTGCTCCCGGGGCTCCACTGTATCGCAACACAGAGAGAAAGCCAGGACAAAGGGGTCAAGCACCTGCCCCTTCTCTCACTTCAGGGTACCATTTCCTCCCCTCCTAGGGGAATAAAGTGGACTGTGGCACCTTTGGGAAGTGCTGGGTAGCTCATCATCTCTGAGTCAAAGTTTAGGATATCAAAGCTCATCAGAGTCTGAGTCCATTGTGTCATCACATTCCCCTCAGCAGTGATACCAGAGCACACAGATTTGGCGGCATCCTAGCAACTGCTATTGTCAAATGCACAAATACTTAATTTAAAACAATGTTTACAAAGAGCCCAGCACCAAGTGAAGGAAATATGGTAGATAGGTAAAGATATGGCATTGTCAGCTCCAAATCTACAGAGATAATCATAGTCAGGCAGACCTGGACTCCCTAATGTTTGAGTATTTCTTTTTCTGGAAAATTTAAGGTAATAAGGGTAACATTATTACCTTTCACTGGCTAGGCTTATACTTGTTAAAGGAGAGAGAGAGACAGAAAGACAGAGTGAGAAAGAGGCAGAGACAGACACAGATAGCGAGACAGGGAGAAAGACACAGAGAGACAGAGAAAACCAGGCATGGTGGCACATTCATATCATCCTGATTTTTTAAAAGAACAGTAAAAAGGGCAGTAGTGTGCTTTCCTAGCATTTGTAAGACCCTGGTTATCCTAACCACTGCAAAACAAGAAAAATGATTAACAGAAACCTTTGAGGAGGTTAGATTAGAATGGGTATTCAGAAGCAATATATAGTAGTAATATTCTATTTCTTATCAAAATATTTTATTAAAATATATCCACATTTTACATGCCCTTCTTTACATATATGAGACTCTTCATTTAAGATGAATTAAAAATGCAAGTAAAATGCTTCTGTATCTGTTAACATGCCTATAGATGAGCCCGAGTCTAAACTGACCCCTCCAAATTATTATGAACACAGAAGGCATCCAAGATATGGGCAGCAATCTCAGAGTCCAGCATCACTGTGCAGTAATAGGAGAAGCTGTCTGGGATGCTTGTGGCTTAACCCTCGGCTGACTGAGCTGTTGTAACTCAGGGCCATCATGATGTTGCTACACTGTCTGGATGCAGCCTTCCAAGCTCCCATGGACTTGGTGAAGAACAGAGAACACAAATGGGAGTGGGAAGGAATATCAGTCAATCAGTTTAACAAGAGCTAAGCCTCACATGGCCTCATTTGGGGACATTATGATGCAAAATAATTCAGGCCATCGAATGGCAAAATGTGGTCCTGCTGTGGGGTAAGATACTGCCTTGGTGTCAGCAAGTCTCCTAGTTGGGGTTGAGACCCAGACACTGGGCTGGGCTGGACAGAGAGGTAAGTCCAGCAGCCAGAGGTTTACAGTGGGCAGGCTTATTACAGGGGAGCTGATAGGAGACCCTTCCCTGCTTGGGGTTATTTGGTGATACGGGATGTAAATTCCTAGAATTAGAGTCCAATGTGGAGAAGAGGCCCAGGACTCTATAGCCTGATGCTGAAAGTCCCAGGAAAGACAGGCAAAGACTACAGAGAGCAGGAGGAAGAGGAAACGGGAGCTGGAAAAGAAATGTCAAGGCTTCAGGGGTCCTTTCCGGGAGCCAGCAAGCCCCTCCTGCTTGAGCTCTCTGAACTCCTACCCCACCCTGGATGCCTGTGGGTCCAGCTAAAGAGTCTTCTGACAAGAGACTCACATATGCAAAGGCCCAGATAGTACTTCCCTCCTTCCTCTACCTATCACTTTCCTATCACCTGTCCCTGCCCCTCAAAAACAGAAAACGAGCCAGGGGAAGTTGTGGCTGGTGCAGAAGCATCCACCTGAAGAAGCAGAGGCCAGGTACAAGGAGGCCAGCAGTGCTTCTCTCTGAGGTGGTGCACACGTGCCAACCACAAGGACTCTGAAATGAGCAAAGGGAGGCATGTTACTTAAAGCACTGACCCAACCTAGCCAGTCTTCTGAGGAGCCCAACAAGCGTGTAAAAAGCCCTTTTCCAGGAACCTTAGTCCCCAAATCCAAGACTTAAAACTTGACAGAAGTGCCTGACTGAGAACAGGCAAGCTATGTTGTCCATGGCAGTAGCTGTATGGTCATTCTCTGAGGCAGGGATTTCATGGAGCTGTAGGAACGGGTGAGGAAATCATCAGCGCTGGGCAAGTGGGAAGAGCCTCCTTCTGTAAATGTTTTTCTTCCTCTCCCAGCCAGAGATGTGCCCCTCCCACAGCTCTGCTCCCAGATTTTGGGGTGCTCTGGGAAGAAGAGTCATAGAGTAGTCTGACATGCCACTGAGAGCAGAGAGAAGACAGCGGCCCCAAGCAGGGCTGCTGAGGAGCTGGGAAGGAGCAGGTTCCCTGGAGCCCAGAGCACTGGCCTCCATGTCTGGGCTCTCCTGTCTGCAGAGACTGGTGTAGGTGGGGCAGTGCTGCACAGGTTAAATACAGCAAGACAGGGCTTTGAAACAGGATGTTTTCTGCCATTTTTAGCTCTTTCCCAGACATGCTCCACACCCCTGGCCTTGGGGAAGGCTGGTGTAGGGTTGATCCTGTGCCTAGGATCTGGGTTTTTGGGGCATGACAGGGTCACTAAGGTGAGGCTGGCAAAATTTCAGCCTTTCCACTTCTACCTATGTGACAGACACACACACACACACACACACACACACACACACACACACACGTGTGCACACACACACATACAGAGTGGCTGCCCTTTCCTGATGATTGGGGAGATACACAGACATGCAGGTACTGGAGCTCACACCAGCCAAAGGCCGATAGGCCAGACACCAGGTGGGGAAGGTGTGGCCCCTTAGCTTGTCACCTGTCAGGTGCTGCCAGCCCTAGAGAACATACCAGGAGACCCTGGTGGAAGTGCAGCTGAGCTGAGGGAGGCTGGCCTGCTCTCTGGCCATGGGAGGTGGGGTGCACCTGTAGTGGACAAATGTGCGTTCACTCCAGCCAGGCTCTCCTGTGCTCCCTCTACTCAGACAGCCCATGCCCCGCAGATGTCATGCTCTTCTTGGTTCTGCTCAGGCCTCATGGATTTCTTAGGCTACCTTCTTGCTCCTCAGGAAGGCTGAGGAATAGTAAAATGGGTACAGGAGGGATCAACACTTTCCTTTCCTTGCCTCCTAAGGCTTTTCAAGGTTAGAGGTGACATCTAAGTAGATCACTACCCTTGAATTAAAAAAGTTATATCTATTGCATGCCGGGCCTGATAAATGCTAACTGATTTATTCCATTTAATTCTCACTACAGTTCTGTGAGGTGTGTGGAGGAGACCTGTTTCACAGAGGCCCAAACCATATGCTCAGAGCAGTCTGGTCTGTCCAAAGCCCCACAGCCAGGGAAGTGGTGGTACTGAGCAACTGAGGAGGACAGGCTGATTGCAACACCTCATTGCTCTTTTTGCTCCTTGCTAACTCCTCCCATTTCCATTGACAGTTGTCAGAGCAGACATACTCCTCTGTGCTAGGTCCTCCTCCAAGCTCTTCATTTAACCCTCACCACAGCACTGTCAGGTGGGCACAGTTATTATCTCTATCTTAGGAATGAGACACAGGCAAGGGAAATTGATCGTCTTCAGAGCCAAGATTTGGATCAAGGCAGTTAGCTGAGTCTCCACTCTACTGCATTTCCTGAGAGAAATATTTCAGCCATTTCCCCAATCCTAAGTCCTGGACATATTTTGCTTGTGAGGGGAGAACACTGTAATCTTTTTCCTTTCAAGGACCGTGTGGCCTTGGGATGACAGCCCTCAGCCAGGATCTGCTATCAGTTAGACAACCTCATGTCTGAGGAAAGTCCATTCATAAAATGGTCCATTCCTTCCAACGCAGTTTTTCACTCCTAGATGATTCTTTAGGAGAAATTATCCTCGATTTGGCCTCTGGTACAAATGAAAGTTGGTAAGAAGTGGAGCAAAAATACAGAGTGAAAAAGACAAATGGGGAAAACACTACCTACTCACCGCACACATCCTCCATACCCATCAACAATCATGTTCTGAATACCTCGGAAGAACTATTGCTTTCTCTAGTGCTGTCCTCAGAGCCACGCATTCACGACTCTGCTTTAAAAATAGTAGAGCCCCAGTACTTAGACTTGAAGAAGAGGAAGGAAGGGGTCAACTTTGTAGAAAGCCCTGGTTTCCATTCCTCCAGGGCTTGTA